TTTTATCCCTTGGGGGTCGGCGGCTGCAGGCGGTAGCCTGGTAAATATATATATATATATATGTATATGTGTGTGTAAGCATGTAGCATGTGTAAGTAAGCACGTATGTATCTGTAAATGTTTTTTGGGTTTAGTTATCTATTTACAAATGGTTTGTTGATATACACGTGCATGTGCATGTGTATATGTATATAGTTATATATACATATATACATATATATATAATGTATGTTATGTGTATTTATATGCTTACACTTGTTTATGTTGATGTTGGTAGACGAGTACACTTATATCAAGAATCTAAACATATTGTCCATGTACATTCAGAGTCATCTACAGTAAAATGCTGTTCAATCTGGTTTGTGACTTTACGTCCTTCAAGTCCACTCGCAGGACACGCTCTGGGCATATCTCTCTCCCTCTCTCTCTCCACCCGATCCACATATCGACCCCCAACCAGCTGCACCGCTGCCTGTCATTCACCTCCAGGACCTCGCCGGCCACCGGGCTGTGCACCTCCCCGACGCTTTTCACAGCCTCCAGGGTGGCCAAAGTCTCCATGACCTCGGTATTCATGGCACATCCAAATCTCCTTATCCTGAAGGAGAGAAGATGAAGATGAGAAAAGGGGAGAAAAGAGTGATCTAGCCAAAGGATGAGTAAATACCGACCGTACAATTGAATGCTCAAATTCATCATATCCAACCGATCGCTGACGCCACCGGCGTGCCAGCGGCACCTGGAAGCGAGCACCGGGCGCTGGAAGACGGCAGTAGACGATCTCCCCCAGTGCTCGCTGCGCCAAGTGGGTGATGCCCACCACGCCGGTGCCCTCGCCCTCATCTTGGAACCACTCCTGGAAGAAACGATGTGGACAAGAACGGGGTGATATTACTGCAACATCTGCATAAGCAGCTCCAGAACCCACTGGGTGGTGATGATCACATGCTGGATGTCATCGCCCAAGCCCCCATTTCCCACAAGACTGACCTCGCCTGCGTTTTGGTGAAGTATCTCCGCAACTTCGGCCCCTGAACAGCATCTGCAGCTGCAACGAAGCACCTGGAAGCTCCCAAGCGCCCTCCATGTGCAGCGCGCTGGGCCACCCGCATGGCACAGGCAGGTGCACAGCCAGGTTTTTCGGGGGCTTAGACTGGTCCAGGCTGGTTGGGGTCAGCTCGACTTGGGGAGAGCGGGAAGTGTGTGAAGCCTTCAGGTGCAAATGGAAGGCGCGAAACTTCGAGATGCTCCGCCCAACGGCGATTGAAACTATTAAATTAGATTCTAATTTATATATATTCTAATGCTGTTGCTAATTCTTGTTTCTAATAGTTTCTTGTTCCTAGTAGCGATGCCAGGAGCCCCAACAGCGCTTCAGACTCATTATGCCAATTGCTGGGATGCTCTTGGCAAGTAAAGAGCTTTGTCTCCTCAACTTGAATCAAATCTGGCATCAAATACCTGCTGACCTGCTGCAGCCTGCTCGCTGTGACATTGGATGCACCTACAGAAGTATATAGCCCCAGGCACAAACATACACCCCATACACCCTGCAACTATTTGGGAATCCAAGTTTCCCGGCCGAAAGCTCCAAAGCAGGTATGTAAACAGAAGCCTTACAGAGAGCAGGGGTGAACGGTGGCAACGGCACTATAGCCTCGTCCGGATTCTAGTGGGGCCTCATGTACTCAATTCAGGCTTCTCTCTCAATCGAAAAAGTGAATTCACTCTAGCAGCCAGAAGTCCAAGCCGAGAAACAAATAGTTTGCTTTGTTTCTCCTAGGTTCAGCCCACAGATTTATGTTCAGGTGATTCTTGCTTTTGCTTCGCTTCTTATTGTTTGACTGAGGCCACGACCCCTTCGAGCAGTCTTTTCTCAAAGCTACGGCACCTGGCTTGTTTGGACACTTGAAATGATGAGAGTGGCCACTAGGTAGATAGGCGAACCTCCTATTTTGTGTAAATACCTCCCACACCAAATGGCTCCCACCGACCAAAATGGACTTATATAGTGGTTTCCACGAATTCCACTTTACAGTGTCCGCTGCCACCGACCAAAATGGACTTAGCGGCATCCACTAATTCCATTTTACAGGGCTGGCTCCCACCGACCAAAATGGACTTAGTGGCATCCACTGACCGAGTGCAAAAATCAAGGAGTCACTCCGAGGAACGAAAAAGAAGTGGAAAAATGAAGAAAAGCAGTCCGACGAACAAAAAAAAAAGAAAAAGTTACAGTAAGGAAAACAGTTCCACGGACTGAAGTGAAGTGCAAAATGCACCTCGGAGCCGGACAGCTAAGTTTTCTCGGGGAAAAGGTCCGCAGGTGCCGTAGTTTAAGACGTGGGGTCGTGGTTTGGGAGAGGTCGTGGTTAAATGCCAGTTTCGGAAGAAGGGTGTCCATCTAATTGGGGTCCAGCAGTGCTCATCTCTGCCTGGAGCCTCATTAGCAAGAGCCACCACGACAAATCAGTAGCACGTTGTAACTTTTAAACAGGAGAAGAATGTATATTACTATAGTATTGGCATTATATTGCATAAGTGATGGTCGAGATTCTGCCACAAACCTACAAAAAGCCATCATTCGTGATGATGTAGAGCTCTCTGCTGGTTGAGCTTCTGCCAATATTGCATAGCTGGGGCTTTCGTTCCAAAGTGCACATCAACGAAAGAGTCGTCCCACCTGGCAAAGCGCCAAGGTTGATGGTCGCCATCTTGCAACGCACACACTCCTCATCGAGACCTCGAGTGGTGCAACAATCTGCCGATGGCGGTGCAAAGGCCAAGAGGCCAAGACAACAGCTTTGCACAAAGACCATTTCCTGCTACGACTTGCCAACACCCTCCCTCAAAAAACACAACACACACACACACAAAAGACTCTTGGCGTGAGCGCTGTGCTGTGTAAGTGCCAGTGCTCATCTACTCAGTTGGTTCCATGGACTGAATTGAGCGACAAAAGGTGCCAAGAACACAAAGGCGTTCGATGGTGTTCGGCTGTTTTCCTCGCTTCACACACTAATCCTTCTTCATCGTCAGCTGCACGGACCTTCAGAAGCCGCCAGTACATATCTTGTGGGGGTGGCATCCAAGATCTTTGACTTGTGGGTCTTGACATGAAGGCTTCTCTGGTGCCCATAACAGCTGGGAACCGCAACTCTACTCGTATGGAATCCCTGCACATCTGGTGTTGTGAGTCTTCGTTGAACACAGCGTCGCTAGGGCTGAGGTAAATGCGGCGTATGGGCACATAGTCTGTTGCTAAGAAGCTGCAAGAGTGTAAGAGTGCAGGGGCTGAGCCACAATCTACAATGGAAGAAGTCTGCCTCACTCAAATCACTTGCCAAGTTTGCCTGGCGGAACGGCAAATGGCTCGGACAGCCTACAAACACAAATGCCTGTGCCCCATGTGCCCTTCTGCCATGCCTACTGACAATGGCCCATCCTTTCCACATTCAGCTGCATTCACCCATCCTGCCTTGAATGTTAGCAGTGCAGCTGCTTTCAGGTGCCATAGCGTAGATCCAATTCGGGGTCACACTGACCTGCGCCCCCTTAACCTTGCAATGCGGAAAGATGTGAATGCCTTGAAGATGTCATAAGATGTGATTTCAGCGGTGGGACAGGACTTGTCAGATTTCAGCATGTGAGGAATGGCGGGGTGGGAACTAAATTGGCAAACGCTGGGGGTCCTGAGCAATACAGAGAATTACACACCTCTCTCAAGTCCCTCATTTAAGCACGTAAGAGCTTCTGGGCATCAGGCCATGAGGAACTTGGCTGTCCAGTAGCCTCCGTTGTCTGCGGCCTCTTCAAGGGCACTCTTGTTGAAATGGCCACCCCGTTCCTCAAACCGCGCATGCAGCGGGGAGAAATCAAGGAGCAACAAAACGAATGAAGACCCAAATTGAAGCACCTGCTACCCTCTTGCCTGGTTTGAAAACCTTGACCTTGTTCTCTAGCAAAGCCCGAATGCTTCAGACAAGGATCATTGACATCCTGGCCATTGTCTAAGAACTCCCACAAACGATCAATGTCCTCTGCCAAGGCAGCACCAAACCTGACAACTCGCAAGGAAAGCATCTACAGAGTCATGAGTGATTGTGAGTAGCTTTTGAGACCCTAATCCCCTGTCATTTGTGGCCTCTGTGGGGCTGGGGGGTGGGGATCCCATTGGCCCATGGGGCCAAAGTCAACAAAGGCCAAGCAGCCAGGTGTACTTCATACCTTGGCTTTTCAAATAGCTTGCGATGTCCATGGGGGCCAGCTTTCCATCTGGCATTTGTGGAGGTCGGTCAGGGTGGTGCCAATGACAGGCTGCCGCATAGTCGAGGGCGTTGTAGCCTCCATAGTCCAAGACCTCCATGTCAACACCTGCCTCCTCTATTAGCCTCAGGTCAAAGGAACTGTCTTCAGGCTTTCCTGCCCAATGAGTGAAAACAACCCTGATGCCTGAAAAGGCAAAGCCGGCAAAGCTTCAATGGAACGGGAGGCCAGCTTGAACAATCAGGTCCCATCTAGTGAACCTGGTGAATATGATGCGCATCCAAGCAAAGAGGTGCCGTACAACGCTAGTCAGTGACGAGGAGCCATTTGACCATGGACCAGTTCCCCTGCTCGATGGCTAGGAACAGGGCAGTGCCTCCATAGGCGTCGAGGCGAGCATTCACATCAACGCCTTTCTTCACGCACTCCTTGGCCCATGCCATGTTCCCAAGCCCCATGGGTGTGCCAACTGCATGGTACCACTCCTGGCAAAGAGATTTCAGCAGGCGAACCCAACCACCCGTGCTGCAAAACAAGCTCCGAAAAAGCGCTGTGGAGATGGCCTTCACAAAAATGTCGCTGCACAGCACACCTTTAAAACTGAAGGATGGCCAGAGCACCTGCCTCCCCCAAGCACGCGCCCCCACCGACGATGCTACAAAAAATAACATAGATTATCATGGATTCAACCTCCAAGTTCAAAACACCTGATCGAGTCGACAACGAGTCAGTGAAGTCGAAAGGGCTCCTGCACCAACTCTGGCATGCTATCAATCGCATCGTTGCCATAGATCCTGGTCCGCGCCTGCTTCGCCATGGCCCCCGCAAAAGCGCGGTTTGAGCTTGCGGGGCTGTTGGGCCAACATACATTTGGGCCAACAAGGGCAATTTGAATTGGCTGTCGTGCTTGGATACCTTGGCTCGTCTTGTAAACTAGTGATGGTCCAGGCTCAAGGCAGCCTAGTGCGAGGGCAGAAGGCATCCCCTAGCTGGTCAAAAACGCGTAGTCTTTGACATCTATCCAGAGAGTAGCAGCAGCAAAAGAACTGGGCCCCGAGCCACTCAAGCTACACCTGAGCCAGCACCGCAGGAATCGTTCCCGACCCTTTGGAGTCTTGTCCACTTGTCCACAGTAGCACATCAAAGTAGGCACTGCTGCCCAGCAAGAAAAGAGAATGCTCAACTCTTATCACGACACACGAGCAAAGTGCTGGCAAACTGGGTGGCCACAAGAAGATGTGGATTAGGAAGCATAATACAGTCCCACAAGTCGATTTGTTCATAGCAAGTCCGGAAGGGTTCCTGGCGTGGATCTTCTCTTTGAAAACCCTTTTCAGCGCCACGCCACCCTGTTCTGGCCGATGCCCTCTCCAATGGTCCAACCGCCCCACCGCCTTGGCTCACTCCGCGAGGATCCAGGAGACCAAGCCGTTGAAGCCCGGCCCCTCCTCCACGATCTCCAGCGAGTGCCCTAGACCTGACGAGAAGACAAGCGCTTGGACAAAACATGTGAGGCATGAGGCATGAGATCTAGCCATCTAGTCCTTGTGATCTGTCCTTCACCAAGCCCTTTGAAAGATGGAGTTGGATAAAAAAGTTTGTCTTCTCTGTTGATGGGATCTATGTCTTCCAAGTTTCTTGATCCTCCACACATCATGATGCGTTTGCATGCCCTTTTCGTGTAGTGCAGGCTCAAGGTGTGGATGCAGAGTTGTACGTCCATAAAATATGTGTATATAGATACCTTCGTTGAAGACTGTCAAAAGCCACCCAGCTTTCAAGGAATCTTGATGGGTTGCACATCTGCAAATACTCTGCAAATACTCATGCAATTGCATTCTGCAAATATCCTGGTCCGTGTAACAGGTACCAATGAGTATAATATGACATATATGAATCGCAAGCTATGTCAGTCGCTTGAAGTTGCTTTGCTTTGATCTCACCAAGGTCTCTTTCTGATGTCATGCAACCATTCAATGGTGATGTGCTGGGTGGTCCTATAGCGAGCCCTGGGCAGAATCAACTCAAGAGTTATTTCGGAGAACTGTACGTATGGCGACATTGGTTATAAAAGAATAATGATTCTTTTCAACTCTTCTTTTCACACCTTTCCGTTTGCTAGTTTCAGCCGTTTCAAACGTTAACTCTCACTATCGTCCTTCTCTCTCTCTCTACAGTAGGCGTGTCACCATAGCTGCCGGCTTTCATTCTAGAGTAGATTTGTGTTTCTCACTGTTTCTTCATAGCTGCTATTAGGGAAATCTTGATCACCTGGACCTGAACCTCAGAAAGAAACTGACAACTAAAGGATCCATATTGACCCAAAAGTCTGAAATCTCCGGATTTCTAAGGAATCATCTAAATTCTAAATATCTGTTTAGCGCATGGTTGGCCACCTCCCCCATGCGTTGTACTCTTCGCGCCTTTGGGGTAGTGGCAAACTGTGAAGTCCTCGGCCGCCTCCCACTCCTTCATGCGCCACAAGGCCGAGCCCCCTTGGTCCGTCTCAAGCTCCCCGTGCACAAGCATGGTGGGAACCTGAGAAAAGCTGCATCCTGCCTGGGCCCGTGGACCTCCAGAAACTGTACAACTAGGACACGACTAGTAACTAGGACTGGATGGACTTGAGAGCCGTGAAGGGGCTGAGGTATTTACAGCAGGAATTCGCAAAGAAGCTGGTTCGATGTTGTGCACGACAGCTACTACCTACAACCACCGACCACCACAACCGTCAGCGTCACCATAACAGTAGCAACGGCAGCAGCAGCAAGCACGATGTCATCTGTCAGGCCTTGATGGCTGGCCTGGCCGACATCCCCTGCAGCTCCTTCACATAGGCCACGGGCATGTGCCACTTCTCAGGAAGCTTGTCCTTGAAGTTCCTGTCAGTAAAGGCGGGCATACTTCACTGCAGAAGCAGCAACATATTCCATCGTTCCAGTTGCGGTGGGGTGCTTTGTGCTGGGCCTTCCCAAGCTCATGTGGCTGTTCCTTTCTGCACTTCAGCTAGAATGTCCAAAGCCCAAACTAAAATTAACTATATAACTATATAACTATATATATAAAGATGTTTGTATAACTAACTAAATGTAACTATATAAATGGCTCACTCCAAAGTGTCCTGTCAAAGTTGTCGATTGCAGGCGCCAAGAGCACAGCCTTCTTCACCAAATGGGGCCACCGCTCCTGAAGCATTATGTCTCAAGCATCGAACTGGACAACGCCACGCCTGCCATGCAATCGGCCCAAAAGCCCCACATGACCCTTTTTCTTGGACTTTTTGCGGCCTTCAGTGCGGACCGCAAGCAAGTTGGTCACCTTGTTCACCTGTCCTGAAAGTTGGCCACCAGGTAACCCCCAACAGAGAAGCCCACCAGGACACTCTGAGCGTGCGCGTGCTGCGTGTGCTGCTCCAGCTCTGCAGCCAGTTCCTCCAGGAAGGACGGGAGCGAGGTGGCTGCCACGTGGCCGCCTAACAAAACCGCCCCGAGAGAAGCGTGGGGATTTCTCTGTGGAAAGGTGTTGAGGATTGTTAAGGTGTTGGAGAAAAGCCAGAAAGAAATAGACATGGTCCATAAGGGTCCTAGAATTGAAGTGTCCCATGTTGCTTCCATCTTCCCGAGCTTGTCCAATCTCTGAAGTATCCGTGGGAGGGAGCCTTCGGCCATGGCTCTGCATGGACTTCGTGTGACTTCTCATCCGGCCTGGATGGTAGGTCGGGGCCTAAGCAAAAGAAAACAACTTTGTCAGGAAGCATGCTGAGACTGAAACGATGCTGAAAAGGGCGCATCCGCATCCAACTACTTGCCTGTATATATTTTAGTAATGATAACTTGCATGAATAGAAACATCATTCTGGGCAGACTGCCAATGACCTTGCGCATGGCTTGCATGCCCACTGCAGCCATGGCACTCGGAGGGTGACGCCCACCGCCTCGAAGTTCTCTCTCAACCGTTCAAGAAAGGCTTGCTCCACCTCTTCATCCCCAATCCGGTGCCGGGTGGGGCCGGTGGGGCTTCGAGCAAAACATATGACAAAATGAATTGCCATGCCGCAACAACATGGATGAAAATAGAGGCGCGGGGCAAAAGGGGCAAAAGGTGCGCGAATGTCAATTAGAACAAAAGTTCGATTGAATGGAAACTCTGAGTCTCAAAGTACGTAAGGCCAGAAGACGTTGTCTAACTTTCTTGGTGTTGTTTTCGAGGCTAACATGGGACACACGTAAAGCAGTAAATATTCCAAAAAATATATACCGTGTGTTGTTCAACTTTTCAATGCTACGCATATTTTGAGAGCATTTGGCTTGGGCGATGCTGCATCGAGTGGTCTTTCGGAGGAATGGAATAAACAGACTGGAGTTGCAAGCTGCACGCAATAGATTCAAAGTGCCTGAGGCGGGTGCAAGAACCACGAGCAAAAGAGTGAAGGCGTGTGATTCGACAAATGAGAGGAGATACTAGAGCTTTCAAGGGTCCTTCCAAGTATCTGAAAGTGTTCATGTGTTGCAGTGCAGGGAAAGACAATAGCCTTCAGCAATTTTTCCACCAAGCATGTCCAAACCTGTATGAGTCAACTTGCAGACAATCCTAAACCTATTGGATAGCCATAGACCATAGACGAGGATTGCCTGCAGCACCAAGAATTAGCAGAAACAAAACCGCAAAGGCGTGAGTTACCACCACCTGCACAAACGCAGCTCGCTAGTCGCAAAACACGTGAACCCAGAGCCGCAAGAGGAGCAGAAGCCGGAGAGCAAACGGACAACATGAGTTGAGTGGGGTTCAGCTTGAAGCAAAAAAGATCAAAGCTATACAGTATATACAAATTTACAGTAAGTAGGCAAGCTATAAGCTATATATGACTTTCCAGAATCCCTTGTCTACAATTCCAGGACCATGCGGGAACCAATGTTCAAGGCGATTCCAACCAATACGGCAGACCTTGCTCGGACCGCCAAAGCCATGCAGAAACACCACGGAGGGACGGGTAGACTCCATGGCGGCTCCCAGCGACCCGTCGCCTCTGCTGTCTCATCCAAACCCATGGGTTTTGAACTAGGGGCTCCTGGCCTTACTAGTAGTAGCAAGAAGCTACTAGGAGCAAAGGGCATCGCTACTAGGAGCAAGGACGCTACTAAATGTCTCTTCCATTGGTAAGTTGAAACTAGTCTTTATGAAAGCTCTCGACCATGCGACCCTTTTGGCAGTTCTTGTAGTATGTACAGTGCAGGGTCCGTGCTGGTGGCCGCGTAGGGTCTGGCTGGCTCTTCTCTCACATGCGGGTCACGCTACGCATGCTAAAAGCAGCGCTTGATGGCTCCTCACTGCAATAGGGCAATGTGCGCGAATCGAGGCAAGCGCATGTGTGGCCAGGTGGAGCCCAAAACTTTTATTCCAAGGAGACCCTGACGTTAGACCAGGAAACAAGTCGGCTTGCTTTACTGATGAGAAGTCAGACAAGCGGCATCAGAACCACAAGGGGAGCTCGGTCTATTTATGCAAGTCTGTTTGCAGGCTCGCAATCTTGCAAGCTTAGCTGCTGCCAGCCCTCACTTTGGAGAACACTATTTCCAGCATCTGACTGAAGGTGCCTACGGCTACCTCCGTGATGAAACAGCAGCACCCAAGAGTCTCCAAGGGCAAACCAAAATAGTGATGATGATTGCAAGACGGTTTCCACTCCATGCTTCATCGACTGGCACGGGCCCGGGCCCTGGAACTCAGCTTAAGTCCTTCTTAGACCATGAATTCAGCGTCAGGACTCTCGCGCCTCTCAGTCACAAGGGCACTCGCTCTTAATGAGGCAGCCAATGTGAGATCCCCAGCACCAGAAGTGGTGCACGCAGCAAACGCCTTCACCTGGGCAGGCCAAGGCTGCAGGTCGGTGGCATTAACACAACACGTGACACCAGCAAGTGTCACTTTTGTTTGTCGAACAATACTTCTCCGCTTCAATGCAGCAACCTCTTGTCGTCCCCCAGCCCCGAGCACGCTGAAATTGCCCAGGGGCAATTGTGGCTTTTCCAGGGGCAGAATTCTGCGGTACTTGTGCGCAAAGAGCTCTGAGCGCTTTGAGAGCTCTGTGTCAAAGGCCAGCAGTTGCAGCATGCATCATCCAAGCCTGCAGGTCATCGAATTCACATTCACTGGCACCGAACACCGTCGAAGTCCAAGGCCTCCATCCTGCAGGCCACAGCCTTTCCAATAGCTTCCCTTCTCCATTTTCTCCTGGCTTTTGGGCTCCATGCAGCTTTCCACGGCCACATTCCTCGTGGGTTGGGCCAAATTTTGGATCTTGGCAAAGTGTCATTGAAAGCCACAAGAACATGCCACATTTCCCGGCTTGAAGAATCAGAAGTATTGCTCCCCCTACGAGTTGACAGTACATTCGTTTGGTTCCACACTGGCACTGCCTGTGTTGGGTCCGGCAGAACTGTCTCACCAACTTCCTTTCGAGGCTCATTGGCTTCTCCAGGTCACAAAGCCCGTCTTCGCCCAAACATTCTTTGGGCCCTCCATAGCCGCTGGGGCATTCCCATGCTGAAGCCACCTCAGCACCGTGATGATTGTCATAGGGAGAAGGCAAGCAGAGGGCAAATTGCTCAGGATTCTGGAGGCCAAAAACCTGTCTGCTGGCATTGGCTCAAAACCCACATTCGACAAGTGGCATGACTTCAAGACCTTTGGTTTGACATGACCCATGCCACCAAGGCATTTCCCAACACATATCACCAGATCTGGCATAGCCTAGCTTGTAATACTACAACTCTCCCGTGCAAGCCTAATCTCCATGCTCTCAGACTTTGGGGCGCTGCCTGTAAAGCTGAGCTTTTCCAAAAGAAGGACAAGTATTACAAGTATAATGCACAAGTTGAAAAAATCTGGACGGGAAGAAAGCCATTGTGAAGTCAATCCCCTGCCTTGTAAGCACATTCACATGTTTTTCTTCCAAATTCCACAACTGTCCCAGCAATTTGAATTCTGAGTAGTCTGAAGTGTCGTCTAGTCATCATTGGAAGAGCGGGTGGTGGTCGGTCATCCTTCAAAATTCGCATTCGGCATCCAAGGGACTGTCAGGAGTGCCAGCGCCATGCACCGTGCCATGACCATCGCTTTCGATCACGAGCCGTGAAGGGCTGGGCGCAAAGCTCGGTGGATTCGAGGCTCAAAGGAGACAGGGCATGCATTCCTGATATGCCCCCGCAGCTATAGCGGAACCAAGATTGACAAATCAATGGAGAAGCAATCTTTGGACCTAATTCGTGACCCCACAATAGGAAGGCACAGTCAGTGAGATGTTCTGTCCTAGTCACCAATTTTGATAAATGCCATTGCAAGAGTGAACGCGTGCTTCAGCCTCTCCAAACTTCCAAATCCTTTTGGCACAAGATGCTCTGTCAGGCAAATCTTTCACAAGCGACTTACGTTCATATTCTTGCAAAATAATGCTCCAGCGCTGGAACCCACACCGAGGCCAAACAAACAACAAACAACAACTGGCTTGGTTGAAGCAGCCCAACCAGGAATCAACCACATGTCACCACATGTCCCAGCCACATGGAGTGCAGTGTGCGAGCCCCATCTGCGAGGCACATTGGATGAGTGACTGACACTCGTTGGATGCGCAAAACCCTAAGGTCTTCAGATGGTCTTCACCAGGAAGCTTTCAAACTACTCCAAAATCTTGAGGTGCTGCGGCAAAAGCCCCATGCTCTGAGCTTTGTGCCACAGCTCCATGGGCACTTTCGCACCACAAAGCCTAGCTCAAGTTGACTGTGAGTACGGGCATGTGGTCCCTCTCTGCTTTTCTCTCTCTCTCTATCTCTATCTCTATCTCTATCTATCTGTCTATCCCATATTCTCCAACAATGTCCCGTAGCCACGGCGCTCCCTTGGTGGTTTTCGGGGTCACGTGCTACCCCATGCCAAAGTGAAAAATGCGCGCGGGTCCAGAGAACACCTTCGAATCTAGGAGCCTTGGATAGATAGTAAATTCGTAAGAAGACTAGAACACTGGGAAAACAGACACCTCCACAACGTCGTGTTCTGTATATATATATATATAGCATGTTTGAATGAAGGTTTGATGTGAATTCTACACAAAATCCTTACCCGACATCTTTCCCGGCTTGGATCTTGCTGTGCACCTATATGCTTGCCGGCTTGCTGAAAATCAACCATTGAGGCCTTCTTTTATGGCAGCGGAATATTCTGGATGGGGGAACTATGTTACCAATCCTTGACCCCATCCCGCCATGCAACTCCACATTCCCTCGAACTTGTTCTGGAGAGGCACACCCCACGGCAATCCTGCCCAAAGTCGCACAAGTCTGGGAGCAAGTGCTTGCTGAGTTGGCAACTCGAAACTCGGACCGCCTCTCGACGCAGCTGGGAAGAAAAGCAAAGGCCAAAGCCACCTGGGAAGGAGGTTTTTGCACATGGCGCATCGGTGATAGGCGGATAGGGTCAGGTTGAATGCACCGGACACCTGGACCTCGCCGTTGCTTTGAACAGCCAGGCGCTGCCGGCACGTCGCCGAATCCATGCAACGATGCCACGGAATCCCTCGTGGCCACAAGGCCTGGGGCACGCTAAGGCCATAGGAGCTGCTCAGCTCCTTCCACCGCTGCACCTGGCTGACTGGTGCAGCTCGTAGGGAATGAGAGGATGACCTCCCAATACAAATTCCTTAGGATCCATTCCCTTATTCCTTCCTAAGCACCACTCCGCTGGTGAGGGTTGAGATCATGTCTGACTGAAGTGATAAGCAAGTAATCTCACACACCCATGTACCTGCATTCTGGGAGCACCACGCCGCTGTTCCAGACGGTATGCAGGAGCTTTACTCTCACAGCGAATGCTTGGTGGAAACAGGGAGGTTGGAAGCTTTCCCGCTGCATGCTACGTGGAAAGGTGGCAATCGGGTAAACTCGCGGGGGCTATGATCATCCCCTTCCCACATGCAGTCTCATCTCGGAGTTCTGAAATCATCCCAGCATAATATCTGATGTGAGTGTTCCATTCCAAGTCGTCATGAGCCGCAGATCAGTTCAAATGCCAAGCACAAAACTCAGGCGAAACCTGCCTTCTCCTTGAGTTCCGGGGGCACTTCACCTCAGTTTTGGCAAAGCACGATCTCAATCTGTCAAGTTCAGCATTCCAACTTGAAATGACTGCCAAGACTCTGCTGTACATATAAAGGTTTTGCCCCCACAGTAGACCAGCACAAAAGACTGCGGCCAAATGCACTTTGATTCCTCACCAAGCAGTTGCAATGAAGACACCCTGAAAGTATCGCAATGAGCCTGCTCCGGGACCTTGCGATCGCAAAAAAATACTGATCATCAGCGAACGTGGAAAGTCCTGGTCCTAAATACTTGGTTTCGTGTAGGCAAGTGTGTCACAGCAAATGTCCTCGCTTCTGGCACTCGACCAGCAAAGGGTATGAAGACTGGTCGAGGAGGTTCCAAGTCCGAGCCATCATGATGCTGTCCTTGGAAGGAGGAGGCCGAAGCAAAGTGCATGGCTTCACCAGTGTCATCAACGGGTCCCTCCCTTCGATCTCAAGGGCCAAAGCAGCCAAGGCACGAAAGTGCCAATGGGATACTTCAGGATGGTTTTCCTTGGGCAATCTTACATCCCAAGCACCCCTCGTTCGGCACAACCCCACAGAACGTCTCGCTGACAAACGAAAAAGCACCTCAGACACCTCCGGCCAGCGCCAAAATATGCAGCTCAGCCAGGTGACATCAAGTAGGCCACGCTATTGAAGCCTCGAAAGGGAAGGCTTCAAGAGACTGAGAAAATGCTCAATCCGATGATCAAACGCCATGTAGGACCATCTTAATCTTTCATGTCTTGCTGACTGGGGGCATTCACAGGCTATTTCCCTGAATCAATCAAAAACCACGTTGCCCCTCACAAGCACTTGCCGCCGAGAATCCCAGGCTCACCTGGCCAATTTCACCTGCGAGAAGACTTCAGCCATCTGAATCAGGGTGAATCTAGCCCCTAGTGATTGCATCCAGCCATAAGTGGGGCAACTTTACTTTGCGGAAGTGCAGGTTGCCACAAATCCTGTGAAACTGGGATGAGGTGTCGTCTCTTGGCCCTGGCCTCTCTCCTTCAAAGAGAGCAAGGTCGCGACCGCTCCAGTTGGGCCTGTCGCCAGCAGAATCAGATCTCGCCCTAATCCATCCTAATCTCCAATAGCATCGTTCCCAGCAACTACAAGCCGAATGCTTCCAACTCCGTTGCTTTGAGCTTCCAGCCACAGGCTTCCTCCCATCGCTCCGGGTCTTCGGCGTCGTGCACTCGAAGGCAGTCGATGAAATTGCCTCGGTGAGACAGATGCGGAATCCGCAGGTCTGAACGAATCTCTGAAACCCCAGCACCAGGAGACAAGGAGAGACAAGCCACAAAATCTCTCAAAGGAGGCACCATTACCAGCCTCTCAAAAGCCACTGCCAACCGCCTCTGCCACACTCATACTGCAGGGTGCTTCTCTAAGCACTCGGATGGTCAACATGTTGTGCCTCCGGAATGCATGCCTCGCATCACTGGTGCGTCTGGAATCTAAAAGCTCTCCGCACAGCGTCCACGCGGTGTGGTCGATGCGTCGTCAAACAGGCTGCGAGAAAAAACACATCGTGCTTCGAACCCGTAACCAGCCAGCGGTTTTCTCACACAAAACACTCAGACGCCCTGCCACCATCGGTTCTTGGTGATGAATACCTGCCCTGCAACGCCCTGCCACCTCGGCTGCCGGGCGTTGCAATCGTTGTCTTGACTGGCGCAGGCTCTCTTCGGTACCCTCCTGACAGGAAAGCCAGGAACACAAAACCGAAACCAACAATATTCATCCGACTACCAAAAATGTGCAATGGAATTGCTGAGTTTGCACCGTCGGCCCAAGTCCTTGCGATAATCCCAGATTGGAACGTTGTCGTGGTACGCAGATGTGTTGAAGTCCTTGTCGGGCAAACCCCGACCCAAATGATCCAACAATGGTAGCGGCACATGAAAGGGTTTGCACCTTCCACATGGGTTGTCACTTGAGACAAAACTTGCACTTTTCGGAACATTGTACGCACATGTCTCACATTAACTGGTCTTTGGCCGACACCAAACTGGGCGAGGGTCATAGCTGGTCTCCAGCCGAGCGCCATATTTTGAAGCCTCTGCCTTCGTAACCATGTAGCCTCAGCAACCCCTGCTCTCAAGGGAGTGCCAGAGTGCTTGGCACAAAAAGTTCCTTGCAAACTTGCACGTCCTGCAACGCGCAAAACTCAAATCATTCCTATCGGTGCAGGACATGGCTTCTTGAATCTATGGGTATCTGTCCAAGCGGCGACCCACCTTGGTAGAAATCGCCACTTGTTCCTTCAGGGCCAATCAAACGAAATCAACCCCCAGGATGCAACCAGCTCTTAACAAATTGGCTAGGCAAGATAGAAAAGTTCCGGAGTGACCCCAGCGTGGGATAGGAGGCCACCAGTGAGTGCTCATCAGTTGAACCTAAAAGCCACGTCGGCGTCAGAGATCCCTCGAGGCCTTGCAGGTGCTGCCTCGGCATCCACGCAGAGACAGTGCGCCCATGTGCAGAACCCGACATCAACACCGGATTCTCCAGTTGTTGGGAAGCCCCTTCAGCAAGCACCTTTTTTCCCCAAACAGGTTTACCTGTGAGGGGTTCTTACTCCTTTTAAAGGGGTGCATGCTCGGGCCGGATGATTTTGAGTTTGTCTCCGGGCTTGTGTTCCTGGCCGCATGATTTCACCCTTGTCTCCCACTTGTCTCCCAGTAAGCTCTGGATGCTCTCCGTGCTCTGGCCGCATGATTTTATACTTGTGTCCCATTTGTCTCCCATTTGTCTCCCAGTTGTCTCCCAGTAAGCTCTCGATGCTCTCAGTGCTCTGGCCGCATGATTTCAGGCTTGTCTCCCACTTGTCTCCCACTTGTCTCCCAGTAAGCTCTGGACGCTCTGAGTGCTTGGCCGCATGATTTCACACTTGTCTCCCATTTGTCTCCCACTTGTCTCCCACTTGTCTCCCAGTAAGCTCTGGATGCTCTGAGTGCTCTGGCCGCGTGATTTCACACTTGTCTCCCACTTGTCTCCCAGTAAGCTCTGGATGCTCTGAGTGCTCTGGCCGCATGATTTTATACT